GTTTTTCACAAGAGTTGTTAAATAATCGTCTATTTTCTCGAGGAAATTAATTCCAGTGGCCGGGGCCCTATACACCCCCGCGATTAAGAAGACCATCTCGTCAAGGAGTAGTTTACACCATACGCTCTCATGGTCGGTAATACCAGGCAACGCCTCATACTTTAGAGAGTCCTTGGTGGAAGCCTGAAATTATAGAACTCTCTAAGCAACACTGCAAACACGGTCAAAATGGAAGTTCTTACATTCCTCTTATTTCCGTCGATGAGACATCCTTTGCTCACGTCATAGTCAGCATTGGGCCAATGGTGGTGGGCCGACCACAGCGACGCTTTCGATCGCTCACGTCGCCAATAGAACGTTTCTAAGGTGTAAAAAGTTTCTTTTCCTAAGAGCGTCCTGATTGTAAAGTGGATACGCCTAAAGCGCGAAACACATGTACGACGAAACCGTCCGATCTGACGTCCGATCAGGCAATACGACGGTCGGAGGCGAGGGCTTTCAACGTCTCTCCGGTACTACGAAAACTTTCTCCCCCCAAGGTCGTTCCGGCAGTCCGCACGTCGGATCGGACGGTTTCGTCGTACATGTGTTCGCGCTTAAGGCCCGTGCGCAGACTAAGGCAAAAGGTTCGTCCACATTTGCGGAAACCTCTCTTGCCTCGAACCGAATTTACTGTGCGTAAAAAAACCACGCCGTTCACATTCATTGCCACCGCGTGTATGGTACCTAAAGCTCACGCCAATTTGATTCCACAAATCTTCTTTGTGGGCACTGTCTTCGTTGTTCAGACACCTCTTCTCAAATAGGTTGAATAATATAGTCTCGATGGTCAGGATGAGTATTTCGGCCGAAACAACGACACCAGCGAGACGGCGCCATTTGCAAAACTTGGGAACTCCGAAAATTCCGGCAGCAATCCCAACAGCTCGGGCTACTCGGCCAGGATGTGACATCAGCATATGCCATTTCATCCTTGCGTTCTGATTGACTGCGGCGGCGTGAAATGTTTTTCTGTGCGGTAAAAATTGGTTCCGGACCGATTGCTCTCGCGGTTGAATATTCCGTCACCGGTAAGGGGATACCGTCTTGGCGTGAATTTCCCCTGCGGATTCAAGAAGAGCAGGAAGTGGACAGTAGCATCCATACGATGTGTGCTGCCAGGGCCCCTCCCACAACGTTGAGCTCGCCTTCCACTGCGTCCAAGTTCTGCTTCCGTTTTTGGCTCTTCGCATGTAGCTTAGTCACTACGCTTTCCCTTGGGTAGCTTCTCGGGTCGGCTTCTTGGGAAGGACCAGCAGCAGAGGTCTCGCCGTAGCCCGGTGATGCAAAAATAAGCTTCAAACTGCTTTGGGCGTCCGGTGGACTTGGGCTTCCTCGAGGTGTCGGACACTCCGCTGCCGGTTGACTCATGTGTGCCACCGTTAAATCGGTGGCCTTCATGTTACTGAAGCTCCTAAAAAGCATGCAAATAATTTAGCACTTGCGCTCACACCTATCAATTAATATTGCTATTTTTCAACACTTACTTGCGCAAACCTAATGTGTCCCTGAGGAACTGCAGTTGATCGAGGATGGGGCCAAACCTTAGAGTTAGAGGAAGCTGCAGCCCCACTCTTTTTCTGTCTCTTTCTCGTCATTAACTTTTTTTCCCGGAAAGTGTCCCTCAGGCTCTTCCATCGGGATGAGCCATCATCCGCTGTCACTGAAATTGAAATTCGTATACAGCGTGATGTTGATTAGAAGACGGATGATGCTGGACATTTAAAGGAACGTAGAGCGGGTTGCGCGTGTTGCCGTCTTCGAGAGCGCTCGTAATGCAGTGGACCCAAAAGGGGTAAATGATTGTCCTATAGCAGGTGATCCTCATCGAACACAAGTTTTTTGGCTTTGATAACAGTAGAGAGTTTTATCAAACACCAATACGGTACCGATACGAGACCAATACGGTCCGGGCGCGCGATTTAAAGCATGCTGCAAGGTGGTAGCGCGAGCTCGGCTGTACCGGGATATCGTTTACAATCTGCTAAAACTCTCTAATGTCGTACGCGCAACCCGTACACTGCGACAGGCAGCGATTTGGGGTGTGTGTGTGGGGGGGGGGGGGGGGGGGGGGGAAGCGCAGCATCGAACGCTTCTAAATATGTGGTCAACTTTCTGGGCCATTTCAAAGAGCGTGCTTTCATAACTTTCGCCGGTGCTCAATGTTCCGAGATCCTCGCGCGCACACACATTTTATTTCATAGCATTGGAAGCTTGTCCCCAAGTAGAGGAAGTCAGACAGACATCGAGCTGCAAGGAGAAAAAGTACGAAGGCGAGCTGGTTATGTACCATTTCTTATGTAATGTCAAGTGCTTGGTCACGGGCCATGTGCACTGCTGTTCTTGGTTCGCTGTAACTGCAGGAAACACCTTGTGCAATTGTTCACATATCAGGATAAGTCGCTTTGCAATATTCATTTTAAAAATTAGCACCCCGGACCAGAGATGTCGAAATTACTCGAATATTGACGAAAAGGGGGCGGGGGGGGGGGGGGGGGGGGGGGGAGGCGGGGCAGGCAGTGTTATTTTCGCCCCCTCCGGGTCCGTATTGTTTACATTAAAATTTAAAAATGTATAGGGGACGCGGGAGGGGTAGGCGGTGCGAAGGGCGATCGCCTCCCTCCGTTCTTACACCACAGACCTTGACTTTTGCTGAATATTTCACATGTTTAAACAGTGTAAAAACGTTAAAACCCGTAGTAGTTCAGTGGTTTCATATTGGTCTTGTCTATCACTTCCACGGCCCCAGTGAAGTTGTCTTAGATTTTCTCTTTGGTCCCGTTGTTCCTAAATTCTTTGAGCTGCGCGTCCCAAAGAACCCGATCTTACAACACTTCACTGATAAGCAGTTCATTGAACTGGGCGCGATACATTTTGTCTCGATCTGCTTTGATAAATACACGTAAATGCCGTTCAGTTCTTCTTCGTCTTTTGTTCTTCTCACTAGCGCTCGCACAAGCCTCTACCGATGCACGTCTCTCGCGCTCGCTACAGTCGGTACTCAGGCGAGGAGAGTAAAAAAGAACCGCCTAATTCATTGAGAAAACAAATTCCGAGGAAGGGAACAGCAACCCCCTCCTCCATAATCTCCTGAACAGTTCCTACGCCACTGCTGAAGCAAAGAAGCTCGATCCGCCGGAAAAAAGAAACCACAAACCAGTCGCTTGCGTACTTTATCTGCCTGTCGTCTGCTTCATCATCATCATCATAATGCCTTTATTTGTGCCAATTAACAACCAACAAAGGTCTACAATGTGGCACAGTGAGAAAAAAAACAAATTGCACAACTGTAAAACATGCTCAACTGATAAAACTAGCATGCAACAAAACACGACTGTACATTTTTAGCGACGGAAAATAATCTCATCTAATTGTCTACTGAGATTTACGTGGCTATCAAAAATATCAAACTTTTCATGCCCAAGATTGTTTACACTTGTCTGCATTCTTGTTGTTGGCGATGTCATGTGTTGATTGTGGGGATAAAAAGTGAGAGCTGTCCTATTTGAGCGAGTCGGTACGTTAAAGTTCACTGAGAACAAAAGTGTTGAGTCAATGTCCCCGTGAACTATTTTATACAAGAAGGCAACATCGCGCGATAATCTTCTGAGGGATAGACACTGTAGGCCAAATTTGTCGAGCAGGAGTTCATAGTTGTAAAAATGCCTTCGGCCAAGGTATTTGTCATAGATTATGCGCACAAAACGTCTCTGAACTGACTCTATTTTAGCTGCATCACGTAGTGTCAGTGAATTCCACACCACAGAGCCAAAGTCTAGTCTCGATCTGATAATAGAACAAAATAAACGAAGGAAACAAGCATAGTTCTCAAACTTTCTAGTTAATCGAGTAATCATTCCAAGTAATCTAAATGCAGAACAGGCAATATGGGCGACATGGCAGCCAAAGGATAGAGTAGTGTCAAAGTACACTCCTAGATCACGAAGCGATGATACTCTTAAAATGCACTTATCATCAATTGAGTATGAATAGTGTATAATTTCACGTTTTTTACTGAAAGACATGACCTTCGTTTTTTCTGGATTGATGATTAAGCAATTTTCCCGACACCAGTCTAAAATATGCGATGCGTCACTCTGAAGAAGGTCACAGTCATCGATCAAACTAATACTTAAAAAGAGCTTGATGTCGTCTGCGAATAACAGCACGTTTGAGTTTACTACGCAAGTAGATATCTCATTGATAAAGATCAAAAACAATAGTGGACCCAAATTGGAGCCCTGTGGTACTCCCGATGACGGATAAAAAGGATCAGAGAAGTTATTTAAAATGCGTACGACACAACGACGGTCAGTCAGGTAGCTTTCAAGCCATAATAAAAGCACAGGAGAAACGCCATTACGTGACAATTTGTGCAGCAGCAAAGCGTGGTTCACCTTGTCAAAGGCTTTCGAGAGGTCAAAATAAACAACGTCAACTTGACCGCGATTACAAACAAAAGGCACTGAATAATCAAGGACAAGAAAACGCCGCCGTCCTATGCACCAGCTTTCCCGCAATGTTTCTCCTTCTGTCACGCGATTTCCCGCCGCGCTGTGAGCGGCCATCGCGGAAGCTGCCGCTATGCCGCGGCGAAAAATTTCCAAATTTCCAACCTGGTGGAACCGTGCCGCTCAGCCGCTGCGGCTGGCCAGAGCGCCGCGACGGCAGAAATTGCGCCGCTCTAGGGCCAAAATCGCCACATGCGAAACCCTCTTCAGATTCGACTGCGGACCCGTCAGCGTGGACGAACCATAAGCCCGCGTGCATAAGCCAGCCTTATGCAATGCTACAGAACGTGAGGGCGCGGGATACTGCAGCTTTGGTACCTAAGCACGAGCGTTTGTGCAATCGAAGGGCGTTTGGAAGCCGTCTGTGCCTAGGCTCTTTCATTCTCTGAAAACGTTGCGACTAACCGAGGGCACAGAATGTCCTGGCTCTTTAGATCTGCCTCCGCTGACATGCCTAGTACCAAAACGGGACTCACGGCGAGCGACAAGTCCGCCATCAAGGACACCTGGACCATGTTCCGGCGAGAGACGCGCACCAACGCCCTATCGCTGTTTGTCGCGCTGTTCTCTCGGTACCCGGAGTACCAAAAGATGTTCCCCAACTTCGCCGACGTCGCATTGAAGGACATGATGCAGTGCCCGAGTCTGACTGCGCACGCCCTCACGGTCATTTATGCCCTCGCGTCCATCGTCGAGAGCATCGACGACGAGAACACAATGGTGTGTATGTCCCCGCTTTTTCTCCTCGAGTTCATGGGCTGGGTTTAGGTCGAAAAGTGCCCTTTCGAAAGAAGGGCGGATTTTCTAGATTCTTTCTCGGGGGGAAACGTCCGTACAGCCCAGTGGAAGCTGGAGGCAATATCATCTTATCATCAGAGCGAGCATATCACAGAAATGGTATGACTACGCGCTTCAAATTTCTCTTTTACCCGTCGGTTTTTTATGGTTGTTTTTGTTTTGCATTTTAGCCGCTACGGGTGTGTAGAGTTGCTGCTTATTTAATTTTAACTATTTTCGTTAGTTCTAGTGGTCGCTTAATGTCTGCTTGCGTAAATATTGGTCGGGATTTTGGTGTGTGTCATTTGAGGGAGCCTAAAAATATGACATTTTTTTATCATCTGCGTGTTGTTGCATGGGTCTTTGTAACCGTCGCACTACGCTTCGTCTTAGGTCCGAGCGCCAATCAAACGGCACAAAAACCGCAACGTCATGGTTTACTATAGAAAAAATCGTAAGGGTGCAGGCGAGCTGGAAAATAGACGGGGAGACGTCTCTCTGAGACGTCGTCCTGTGTATTTTCTGTCCCTTCTACGTTTTGATGTTTCTTCTCTACCCCAGTCTCAGGTTAATTTCAAGATGGATGGTTTACTCTGTTCACTTGATAGAACAAGCCGGCAGACGTGCATGCACACAGAGACGGCGAACAACGGCTGGTACTCGTAGGTGCCGAGAGCACGCGAGCACGCCATGACGTTGTGCGTTTTTCGCTGCTTGATTTGCCCTATGGCTTATAACATCGGACGTGCTCGGACCTAAGGTGATACGAAGTATAACTGAACATGCCAGGCGTTTGACGTTATTGCGGATCAGCGTATGAAAGCGTAATCTCTGCTTTGGTAAAGCATGGTTCTTTTAATCAACGATTTTATGTGGCCATCACACACTTTGTACAACTTTTTTTGTTTCGTATTGCCCGGTTGAACAAAAAGGCGAATTATTACAACATGCCAGAAATAAAAAAAAAACAAAAAAATAAATAAAAAAAAGATTGAGTATACAGCTGAAATTGTAGACTGGCTCACACATTCGCGTCAGTTGAATCAGCAGCAACAAAAGCGACAGCAACGACGGGGACCCCGGGGCCCCCGTGGCTCACGGTCGCGTTCCGAAGTTACGGCTTTCATTGCTTGCCACGTTGCATACTGCGATCACAAGTGCCGGTGTCTTTGTCCTTACGGCCATTTCGGTTGCATGCGAACACAAGCAACGCAGGTGTGTGAACTAAAGTCACTGGATCCTGGGAAAGTAGCGCCAAGCTCCACGCATAGTCGCCATCTTCGTCTTCGTGAAATGAGCAATTTCCCCTTGACCCCTCCGTTCTTGGTGAGCCGATCTAGATTCGCTGGTGACGCGTAGCTTTATTGAGTCGTTTCTTGTATACCAAGGTTTTGCTATCCACACATTGGCGAAACAAGCGTACATCTTCGTGCCACCACCACATGCTGTGTCGGTGCTTGGAGGCACTGAAAAATAAGTTTGCTGTTTTTAAATACGCAAGAAGAAAATGTAATTGTAAGAGATCCGCGGAGATGGGCATGATTGATAAGTTGATTGCATACGCAGTGCCAAAGACTCTTATATTGGCGAGGAACGCTTCCAGTACGATGGTTCTCCATGGTGATCTTGGCGCGACTTGTTTAAAACGACCCTCTGAAATATTTGAAGATTTGAATGGACCGAGATGGCGATTTCCATGGCAATTTAGACATATTATCCAATCGCCTTGCGAGGTTTTGGTTGTCTGTATCTTGGTATATGTTTGCGTCCGGCGAGCAGGTAGGAAAGGCAAGGACGCTATTTTCCCAGAATCCAGTGACTTTAGTCTGAACCAGCCTTAATGCAACTGTCTGAACCAAGCTTGAAAAGAGAACACCTTCGAGTGCCAAGGCGGGACCAAAACAAAGCTTTCACGCATACTGAAAGCTCCGCCATTCAAGACTGCAGCGGCCGCGCAGAAAAGGTTTATCGATATACGGTATTTACACTTTGGAGCAAAAGTGTCTTCTTTAAAGCGTCCCTGACACCCCACAAAAATAGCTTTTTTTATATTTTTTGCAAGGCGAATGAATACACTGATCGCACCATCCAGTTTCACTACACCACCGCTGCATCAAAACATTAAGAAAACTTCAGTCTTTCTGCACGTGCGACAAACTCCCTTGAGCTCTGCGTGTGTAGGTCACGAGGCGGCACGAGCCCTGCCACGCGCTGCTCTCTGGCGCCTGTTAACTAAAGTTATGGCGGCGCTTGGTAAGATCGGTCTATTTTTTATCAAGAAACTATCCAAACATTATTTTGGTATAGGAGGTATTCACTGGGCGCCATATTTGAGGGCGATGTTTAGAGCGCATGCTCAGAACGAGCTCACATTAATAGCCTGCTAAGACCGGCAACCTTGATGGTGCTAAGTGCACGCTCTAAAAGGACTGCGGAAGCTCGCTGTCAGCACGCGCTCTGAAGCAGCGCACACGGATATGGCCGCCAGTGAATACTCCCTATAGGAAGTATTCACTGGCGGCCGTAGCTGTGTGCACGACTGCTGAGCGCGTGCTGATGGCGAGCTTCCACGGTTCTTTTGTAACGTGCATTCCGTACCCTCAAGATTGCCGGTCTTGGCAGCCTATTAATGTGGGCTCGTTCAGAGCGTGCGCTCTAGACATCACAAACAAATATGGCGCCCAGTGAATACTCCTTATAGGGTCACGTCTATTCTTAATAAAACCAAAACACCTGTTCAAAAATGAAACCTAAACATGAGGATGTAGACCATGACCGCGACACGCAGACGATGTGTACTGAGGAGGAGGGAGAAATGTAGAGCAGAGAGCCACCGGAAGTACGTGGCTTCATCCTATCGCATTTTGCCTTTTATTTTTCTCCGCTTATCCGGAGTGTGAAGCAAACGACGACGACGACGACGAAGCTGTGTGCTCCGTTTGTCGTACGATTGTTTCGTACTTATAATGATAATTATAATATTTATTTGCAACTCAGAGAGATGCACGTGGTTGCAGAGAGGCGGAAAATTCATACCAGAGGCTTGCAACACAAATGAATAAATAAATAAAAGGTATAAAAAGTAGTAAGTGTGATCATAGGCTGATATAATATACAAGATGCGTGACAATGTTGAAATGTAGCTTGTGGGTGAGGGTGCGGCTTGATGTTGCAGGTGATGATGGCTTATGGACTGGATGCATGTGGAACGCTGATGATGATGGGATGGTGAAGAGTGTGCAGGGCGTCAAGCGCGATCCAAACCAACGCGTTTTTGAGCGCGCGTAACTCGTGCGCTTCCCGGAAATTACGTATTTCGTTACGTCGCGGTGATTTCTTGCGCCTTCCGGGCGCGCATAAGAAAGTTGGATGATTTCTACTTTTTCTGAACGCGCACAAAAACGCGCTGTGACGTAGTAGGGCGCTCGTCTCCCATATCCTCTCCCGGCCAATCGGTGGAGAGCTTCAGTTCTGGCTCCGCGTCTCTTCTCCGTCGGGCGCAGATGCTTTCAGCTCGCCCGAAAGCGCACCGTCCTAACCAACGCGGACGCTTGTAACTCAGAAAGCGCACCGAAAACAGCAAAAACGTCACAAAATCCGCAATTTCCGGGAAGCGCACGACTTTCGCGCGCACAAAAACGTGTTGGTTCGGATCACGCTTTAGGCCTAAAGTGGCCTTCACGACGGTGCTTGTAGCGGGGCCACCATAGGCTGCTTACATCTAGCAGGCCGGTCTCGAGTGCCTGGCGAGGGCTCCAGGCGTGCCCAGCTTGCAGACGAGCCGGCCGACTTTCCGGAGATGCAAAGAGTTCAGTAGCCCCATGGTGGGGCTTTAAAGGTTGGCCCCGGGTGTTGGCCGGGAGGCGGTTTTCGCAAAATCGGGCCTTGAGGGCTCCCAGCTCGCGGTCGATCTTGCAACCGAGCAGCCTGAGCACTCTGTCGATCGAAGACATTGTGTGTGCTACTGGTCCGGCTGGCTCTCAAAGGATAAAAAAAATCTTGCGCCCAGCTGGCTTCCTTTTCCCTTTCTAATATCCCTTACGCTCGGTGTTCTACGCTTGAAGATTGATTTGCCGGTACTCTGAACGGCAGTTCCGAGCTAGCGGCACCACGGCCGTCGCAGCGTTGATCCGTCGTGCACTGCCATCGCGTCGTCCAGCCCGCGGTACGTCGCCTTATTGAGAATGACATGCACATGTATTTCCTGTGATCTGAGCACCATCTTTTTTCAGTCAACGTATTTGGAGCTTTGGGAGTCCTTAAGAATGAAGTTGAAATTATTATTTTTTTATTATTATTATTAGTACTGAATGTGTGCCTCAGACATCCCACGACTTCGGATATATTTGGTACGCTATAGTTCGAACTCCACGTTACCATGGAAAGAAGAGTGAGCGCGACTGAAACCAGTAGATTGTCGACCGGCTGTTTTCGGGCAGAAAGAAAATTAATCTCGAGCCGAAAATTTTGTTTTGTGTAGTTGGGCTCTTACGAGTGACGTTCCAATAAAAACCTCGGCGAAAATAAATACACTGTCAGTGTCCCCTTTAAGACCTGATAGTTAGACGAGAGAGAAAGCTATAAAGAAGTCACACACATTGAAGTTTGAACGAAAATGAAGCACAAAGTCCAGTAATAAAACAAGCCCCTACTCGTAACACTGCCGTGGCCATGATTCGTTTTCACCAAGTGTACTCGTCTGACACGGAATCACTATGTGAGCTCGAGGCGTCATCTTTGCCGAAGTTGCTGACAACGTTGTCCACAACGTCATCAATGGTGTGGCGAACGTTTCTCATGTTGTCCTCTTGCAGCAATAACATGATGACAACAAAGTACCACTTGTCCGGTTCGTGGCGCTAGTCCCCACCCAGTTTGCTTTCTTGAGCGGAACACCTCTCCAGCGGCTTCAACAAAATCTCTCTCGTCGACGCAGTGTTTGG